AACTCTTGACATTATTTTGAATATTCACACAATTTTGGTCTGCCTTTCCCAGGACAATGTAAGCTCCATATTGGCAGCGAGCTGATCTAGCATAACACTGTACTCTCAGCGCAGCATAATATTTGACTCACATAAAGTAGTCAACATATATTTTTAAATTATTAATGAATTGATAATTCTTGCTTTGAAGAATCTTATTATTTATAATTACTTAATTCATTAACTGGATTATAGAATTTTAGCACTAGAAATGACCAAAGAAATTATCTAGTTAAAATTTCTCAGCTGGGCGCAGTGGCTCACGCCTATAATTCCAGCACTTTCGGAGGCTGAAGCAGGTGGATCACTTGAAGTCAGAAGTTTGAGACCAGCCTGGCCAACATGGTGAAACCATATCTCTACTAAAAATAAAAAAATTAGCCAGGCGTGGTGGCAGGCACCTGTAATCCCAGTTACTCGTGATGTTGACACATGAGAATCGCTTGAACCCTGGGGGCGGAGGTTTCAGTCAGCGGAGATCTGCCACCACACTACAACCTGGGCGAAAGAGTGAGGCTCAGTTTCAAAAAAATAGATTTAAAAAAAGTTTCTCATTTTATACTTTAAGAAGGAGAGATCCAGAAGCTTCATGATTTGGTTACGGTCTTGTTACCTGGTGGTAGAACTGTTGACAAGAACCCAGACCTTCACATTATACTAAAAATATATCCAGAAACGGCCGGGCGCGGTGGCTCAAGCCTGTAATCCCAGCACTTTGGGAGGCCGAGGCGGGTGGATCACGAGGTCAAGAGATCGAGACTATCCTGGTCAACATGGTGAAACCCCGTCTCTACTAAAAATACAAAAAATTAGCTGGGCATGGTGGCGCGTGCCTGTAATCCCAGCTACTCAGGAGGCTGAGGCAGGAGAATTGTCTGAACCCAGGAGGCGGAGGTTGCGGTGAGCCGAGATCGCGCCATTGCACTCCAGCCTGGGTAACAAGAGTGAAACTCCGTCCCAAAAAAAAAAAAAAAATATATATATATATATATATCCAGAAACTTAATTTTGCTGTAAAACACCCCCCTCCCCTCCCACACACCCATAAAAATACTGCAAGACAGTCTAAAGGCCACTGTGATTTAAACTTATGATGGTAGTCTGTCACAGTGTATCTGTTTCCCCAAAACTTAATCCTACATCTCCAACTGCTCACTAGAGCCTTCTCCACTGAAATTCTACCACATTCCACCTATCTAAAAAATTACTTAATTTCTAATCTGTCTGGAAAAAAAAAGGTTACTGGCAGCATTCTGTTATCATAAAATACAGTAAAATACTAGCATAGAAATTTAATTTAGATGTCACTCCATGTCAGAGCTTATATGTGGTTTGCATGTGGAATAACATGCATATAGATAAAATGTATAAAACAGTTAAGGCAGAGGGGGGTGCAGAAAAAAAAAAGTTATTATGTAGATATAGTTCTGCAACTGTTATGCCTAATTTCTGAGACTATGCCTACCTAAATTCAACCACTAAAACTGTGGTTGACTTTCAAAAATGTTCTCATCTGTTAAGTTACTTTTCTAGCTATAACAAATCAACCAAACCCAAGTCAAGTCAAACCAACCTTTTGACCGGAAATAAAAAAAATATCCAATGTCAACTGAATTTAAACCACAATGAAACACCTAATAGTATATATCTTAGCAAGTAAAATCCATCTAGACCACCTTCATGACTGAAAGACTTGGTTATTATTATTTATTGACTTTCACATCTTATTTATATGAGAGCAAGTTAACAATACCAAGGCATACCACCTTGTCTCTTCCTTTCTTATATTCTTTGCCTTCCTTCTCCTTGGAAATAACCTTATAGAATGTGAGGTGATATACAGAAAATGACTTGGAATAAGAATTGAGAAGCTCTACTCACTCTGGCAATTTTATGGCTGCAAACAAGGTAAGGAAAATGAATGGAACCTACCAATGAACACTAATCTGAGGCCCTCTACTTAAGTGTTGATTAGGCAGTAGTCATTAGAAGGAAAATTAATTTTTATCAGGGAAAATATTAAGGCTAGTTAGAAACAGAATGTGTAAGCCAGGGAGTGGTGGCTTACACCTGTAATCCTAGCACTTTGGGAGGCTGAGGCAGGTGGATCACCTGAGGTAAGGAGTTCAAGACCAGCCTGGCCAACATGGCGAAACCCTGTCTCTACCGAAAACACAAAAAATTAGTGAGGCATGGTGGTGAATGCCTGTAGTCCCAGCTACTTGGGATGCTGAGGTGGGAGGATTGCTTAAGCCCGGGAGGCAGAGGTTGTAGTGAGCCAAGATCACGTTACTGCACTCCAACCTGGGCAATAGAGGGTATGTTCATATTCCTGTGATCACAAAAGTGAATGGAACTCAAAATACAGTGGACAGTTTCACCTAGAGAGCAGAGGGCCCTGTCAGCTTAACTACAGGACCATCTTCTTTCTTTCGAGAGGGAGTCTCGTTCTGTTGCCTAGGCAGGAGTGAAGTGGTGCAATCTCAGCGCACTGAAACCTCTGCCTCCAGGGTTCAAGTGATACTCCTGCCTCAGCCTCCAGAGTAGCTGGGATTACAGGGACCTGCCAAAACGCCTAATTTTTGTATTTTTAGTAGAGACAGGGTTTCACCATGTTGGCCAGGCTGGTCTTGAACTTCTGACCTCAGATGATCCACCTGCTTCGGCCTCCCAAAGTGCTGGGATTACAGGCGTGAGCCATGGTGTCCAGTTGAGGGTCACCTTCTTACTAAGGAGATCATGGAGTGAAAAACTGTGTGCAAATAAAGTAAATAATAATTACAGCTAGAGACACAGTATAATAAGCTTTTCCTTAAAAGGTCTAAGAAAAGTTTGGGAAGGATTTGTGTCATAATAATTAAGAAAAATATGTCAAGTTTATAAGGGGATGGCCAGGCACAGTGGCTGATGCCTGTAATCCCAATCCCAGCACTTTGGGGGGGATTAGGGATGGGCAGATCACCTGAGGTCAGGAGTTCAAGACCAGCCTGACCAACATGGAGAAACCCCATCTCTACTAAAAATACAAAATTAGCCAGGTGTGGTGGTGCATGCCTGTAATCCTAGCTACTCAAGAGGCTGAGGCAGGAGAATTACTTGAAGCTGAAAGGTGGAGGTGCGATAAGCCGAGATTGCACCATTGCACTCCATCCTGGGCAACAAAAGCAAAACTCCACGTCAAAAAAAAAAAAAAAAAAAGGCATTTTGGGCCAGTTTACCAGAGTATTATCTGTGTTTAATGCAAACTTGTTTATCTCACTGAATTATGTCTAAGTCATAATAGATAATACCAATGAGTATCACAGCTTAGAAAGAACGCGGGGGGATGCTCACTCTCCCAGCAACCTGTATAGGTAGTCTACTACGGAGGATGGCTCATTATGCTCTTGTAATATTTCGAAAGATTGAACCACACAGGAGGGTAGAGGAAGCATAAAAGGAACTCAATAGAACATTTCCTTGCCTAATCTTCACAAGTATATAAGGTACACAAGTAAATAATGTCTTTTATAGAAAAAAGGAAATTATGGATCAGAAAATTTGAGAATTTAAGTAACAAGAGACAGAATTAAAAATTCTGAATCACTATTTCTTTTTATTCTGGCCAGAAGCGGTGGCTCATGCCTGTAATCCAAGCACTATGGTAGGCCGAGGTGGGACGATTACCTGAGATAAGGAGTTTGAGACCAGTCTTGTCAACATGGTGAAACCCTGTCTCTAATAAAAGTACAAAAATTAGCCAGGCATGGTGGCATGAGGCTGTAGTCCCAGCTACTCAGGAGCCTGAGGCAGGACAATCACATGAACCTGGGAGGCAGAGGTTTCAGAGAGCTGAGATTGCGCCACTGCACTCCAGTCTGGGAGACAGAGCAACACTCAGTCACCAAATAAAAAAAATTTTCTTTTGATTCTGAGGTCCATGTTGAATCTACCAACAGCCTTACTTCCATCAAGGCATCAGTAATATTCTAAGGCTGTTGTATGAATTAAATGAGTTACCAGTTCTTTACAGTACTGTTGTGGGTTAGTTTGAAAACACAACCATGCACAGAAATAAGCATTTCTAGTTGTAATGAGCTAACATGCATATAAGCTTTTAGAACACAACCTCTTTATTAGGTATACATGTTTAATTTGCTGTGCATATTATTATGTAGCATATAAAAAGATGCATACTTCAAAAATTATCATGTGGCTATTATGTCCCCTATTTCTTGAATAGCCAGGTAAATGACCTTATCTCTGATTTTCTGATTTTCACCTTAAAGAGAATATAACAAAAGACGGGATGGCTATGGTCTAATTAAATCATTAGATATAAAAGGTTTTTCCAAGTTCACATATAAATGAAGCCAAAAAAAATTCTAGATGCACTTAAAAAAATCATTAAGTACATCAGTATTTTGTATCTCAAATCAGCATCAAGAAAATCCTTTTGGCCAGGTGCAGTGGCTCATGCCTGTAACCCCAGCACTTTGGAAGGCGGAGGCAGGAAGACTGCTTGAGGCAGTCTGGGCAACATAGTGAGATCCCTGTCTCCACAAAACATTAAAAACTTAGCTGAGTGTGGTGGCTTGTGCCTATAGTCTAAGGTAAGAGGATCCCTTGAGCCCAGTAGTTCAAGGCTGCAGTGAGCTATGATTGGGCCACTGCGCTCCAGCCTGGGTGACAGAGTAAGACCCTGTCACTTAAATTTAAAAAAGAAAAAGTAAAGAAAAGAAAATCTATTACATGACACACATGGATTTTTAAAAATTTATATGGTGTGGTAGCAGTGTTAATATAAAAGATGTTTTACATGACTGAGACATCCTTACTTATTAAAGAAAACAAATTGTTCTCTTGGTGAAAATACATAGCATGTTTATATATACTCATTTCTAAGAAGTGATCAATATATAATTGCATATCTACCAATGGAAATACAAAATCATGTAAATTAACTTGTGAAAATACTATACCTTCCTCTCCTTGAACTGGTTCTTCTAACAGCAACTCTGTCATACATTCCCAGTCTTTTAACAGTTCTTGAGAGCTCTCCCATAAACTGTCCACCAAGTAGGCTGCATGTTCATGTAACTAAAAAGAAGAAATCAAGTATCATCAAAGAGCATTTAATAAAGAAACTACTAATAATCTGAGTTAAGAAATCATTTTCTTCATAATTAAAATGGCTTGGTCTCTATGATTCTAAAAACCACTTAGAGAACAACATACATATTCCTATTCCACTGTCAATAGTGTAGATGCAGTATTGTAGAATCGACTTTTTAACATTTACAGTAGTAAAATTAAGAATCTCCCTAGTCCAATGATATCATTTATAGATGAGAAAACAGAGCATACCTAGTTAGAAAATTTCTGAAGTTATATGCTAGATCTAGGTCACTTTTTGCTACTCCTTGTGGTCTCTTCAACTATCATTTATTTTTAAAGGAAATTAATCAGTTTCCTTCAGAATTCCATTAGAAACTTTGATAGCAGCTGTACTTACTTCATACCTCTGTCATCTTAGTCAAAGTAAAAAATGTAAGTTACCCCATCTCTCTATTATTCTACTCTCATTACCACTGGCCTCACTACATTTCGTACTCCACCCCCATTTTCTGTTGGTCATTATTTCCTCGACAATTTTCTTTGGAACCCATGTTCCCACAGTAAACAATCACAGTTAAGGTATTCATCAAACACTTCACATCAAACTCTCTACCACTTGCCAGTCATTAAGCCTTCAAAAATATTATCCCCTCTCCACCTTTTTTTTTTTTTTGGAGATGGAGTCTTGCTCTGTTGCCCAGGTTGGAGTGCAGTGGCTCGACCTTGGCTAACTGTAACCTCTACCTTCCTGGGTTCAAGTGATTTTCTTGCCTCAGCCTCCCGAGTAGCTGGGATTACAGGCCCATGCCATGATGACTGGCTAATTTTTGTATTTTTAGTAGAGATAAGGTTTCACCTTGTTGGCTAGGCTGGCCTTGAACTCCTGACCTCAAGGGATCTGCCTGCCTTGGCCTGCCAAAGTGCTGGGATTACAAGTGTGTGCGACTGCTCTGGGCCCTAAGAATATTACTCTAATGAAGCTCTTCAGGGAAGGTAAGCACAGAAGTTGCTGGCACTGTTCTGGTTTCTGCTAATTACAAGTAACTTCTCTGCCCTTATATAAAAGATCTTCCACTTTGCAGGCTCATTACATTCAGTTAGTTAAAAAATCCTTGTAATCAGTGTTAGTCAAACCACAGACTGCAACCCACTCTTGGGTTGTTAACCCAATTCAATGCATGGAGAACAAAGATTAAAAAAATGATGCACAGTAGAAAAGAGGGCATAGCACATAGAAAGGGTAAATACTATTTCATTAATTGTAATTTGTTATATGTGCCTGTACTTGTGAGAGAAAATGTTTTTCTCATCATGAGTTGTGGCCCAAAAGTATGAGTTACCCTTCTGGACCTACTACTGGTTATCTACTCTTATCTTGGCACATTCAGCACTTGAGTTGATTTTCTTCCTTATTCCTATCTCTATGATTACTCTTAACTTCAGCAATTTTTTTTTTTTTTTTTTAAGACAGGGTCTTGCTGTGTTGCACAGGCTGGAGGGCGGTGGCACAATCACGACTCACTGCCCCCTTGACCTCCTAGACTCAAATGATCCTCCCACCTTAGCCCCTGGAGTAGGTAGGACTACAGATGTGTGCTACCACATCTGGCTAATTTTTGTTTTTTGGTAGAGATGGAGTTACCATGTTACTAGCCTGGTTTTGGCATGAATTTTAATGACTTACGTAATACTCTGCTTTTTCTGACACTAATTCAAGACTTAATTTCTACTACATTTAAAATTTCACACACTGGCTCCAGAAATGCCTAACAAAAACCACATAAACAACATGTCCCTGCGAATTCCATCAAAGCCAGAGTAAATAATATAACATCTTTACCTGTAAATAACATAGGCAAAGGTCTGAGGAAGATATCTTTAAACTTTCTGAATTCGAATATTCTGAGAAACTATCCTTAGACCATCCATAACATTATTCCAACAGCCACAGGCACAAGAGGTGCACAACTCGGAGTCAAAGCTTAACAATGGCAGCAGAAAAAAGAAAAATAAATTGTTTCAAAACTGTTGCTATTAACCCATGCCAAATTGAAGAGTTATTGTTTAATGGGCACAGTTTCAGTTTGAGAAGATTTGAAAAAGTTCTGGAGATGGATGGCAGTGATGACTGCACAGTAATATGAATGTCCTTAATGCCAATGAATTGTATACTTAACAAGGTAAATTTTGTTTTATATATTTTACAATATATATATCAGCTGAACATGCTTTTATGCTTGATTATGTGTATTTATACAGAATAGACATATAAACATTTACAACTATATATATTTGGCAGCTTCAATAAATATAAAATATCCCTTCTATCCCTCTTAATGCTTTTCCAATTTAATTCTGGATTATCTTGTATGATATTGCCCCCTCTGCTATCTTTATATAACCATTTATTAGTTATTTCAGACTTTACCCAGCCTATTATTTATAAACTTCCTATGTTACTTTAAGAGGTGTTTGTAAATAGCATATGGCTATTTTTCATTTCTTTATTTCAATCCCAAATGATAGTGTGCATTTAATAAAGCATGTTACTGGGATAATTCATGCTGGAAATATTGCTGGCATTGTATTCTCTGTGTTCTACTTGCGATATTTTCTTGGTTACTTTATCTGTCCTTCATGCAGGGTTTTATTTTCTAACATTTTTCTATTACCAAAATCCTCAGCCTGTTTTTCACTTCTCTTTATTGAATTTGAACATTATACTCCTACATTTAAAAAATAACTAATAGATATTTGTCTTAAACTTCAATGTCATATTTTTTGGGGTTTTTTTTTTTTTAAATGTGTATATGAGCTTCCTTTCTTCCCACAGGGCCTGACCTTTTACAACTCAAAAGCCTAGAAAAGAGTTGTTTTTTCTCTTTTATTATATCCATTTTTCACTTTCCTAGAAAACATGTTCAAGTAATAATCTGGATATAGAGTCTATTAGGCAGTAATCTGACTGCCTCTCCTTTTAGTTCTTTCCCTTCATTGTTTCTTTTTTATTATATCATATCATATCATATCATATTATTTTAGAGACGGAGTCTCACTCTGTTGTCCAGGCTGGAGTGCAGTGGCATAATCTCGGCTCACTGCAACCTCTGCCTCCCAGGTTCAAAAGATTCTCCAGGCTCAGCTTTCCAAGTAGCTGGGATTACAGGCATGCACCACCACGACTGGTTAATTTTTGTATTTTTAGTAGAGACAGGCTTCCAACCGTGTTGGCCAGGTTGTCTTGAAATCCTGACTTCAAGTGATCCGCCTGCCTCGGCCTCCCAAATTGTTGGGATTACAGGCATGAGCCACTGTGCCTGGCCTTTCTTCATTGTTTCTGTTATCTTACAGAGGTCCTACTAAACAATATAATAAAATTTCTTAATCTGTACTGTACTTTCTCTTTCATACTTTTCTTTTTTTTGAGATGGAGTCTAGCTCTGTTGCCGCAGTAGCACGGTCTCTGCTCACAGTCACCTCCTGCTTCCCAGGTTAAAGAGATTCTTCTGCCTCAGCCTCCTCAGTAGCTGGGACCACAGGTGCGTGCCATCATGCAGCCCTGCCAATTGTTTTTTATTTTTAGTAGAAACAGGTTTTTACTATGTTGGCCAGGCTGGTCTCAAACTCCTGACCTCAGGTGATCTGCCTACTTTGACCTCCCAAAGTGCTGGGATTACAGGCGCAAGTCAGCACACCTGGCCCATACTTTTCATTTCTTTTCCTCTTTTGAATTGTTTTCTGGAAAAATCCCTTGGCTCTACAGCTAACCCTTGGTTGTATACATTCAGGCCATTTATTGATTGTCCTCCCTTTTATTTTTAGAAATCAAGTTTTTAATTTCTATGTATACTCTTCCTCTTTCATAAAAGCTTCTTTGTATACTGGGGTATTAATTAATCTTTTCATCAGTATGTTTTCTCCCTCCTGTCTCCTTTGGTTGTAAAGTAGAAAGAGGGAATCTACAATCAGGAGACTTTCCTCCTATTGTATAAGTACTCAACTTATTTTTTGAATGGAAAAATTTCCAGTCCCTTCTCGTGGCCATAAATTATCTACAGCATTCACTACTTTGCTTCTCAGACCCATTATCCATATCCCAAATGCCCGGACCAGCAGTTCTGAAGTGATGAATAGGTTCAGCTAAAGGATAGCTACATAATTACTACTTAGAGGTTACTCTTTCACCAGTCTCTGCTGCTCTGATCTTTGGTGTATTTCACAGTTCCACCAGAAAGATATCAGTTAAAACAAAACAAACAAACCAAAAAACATTTCTGTGCACTATTCACACTAGCAAAGACATGGAATCAACCAAATGCCATCAATGACAGATTGGATAAAGACAATATGGGGGTGGTGGTGGTGGTGGTGGTGGGGGTGGTGGTGGTGTGTGTGTGTGTGTGTGTGTGTATCACCATGGAATGCTACGCAGCTACAAAATAAGAGTGAAATCAAGTCTTTTGCAGGAACATGGATGGAGCTGGTGGCTACCATCCTTAGGAAAATAACACAGGGACAGAAAACCAGATACATGTTCTCATTTATAAGTGGAAGCTAAATGATAAGAACTTATGAACACAAAGAAGGAAACAACAGATACTGAGGTCTACTTGAGAGTGGTGGGTAGGAGGAGGGAAAGGAGCAGAAAGATAGCTACTGGGTACTGGGCTTAATACCTGGGTGATAAAATAATCTGTACAACACCCTGTGACACATATTTACCTATATAACAAACCTCCATATTTGACCCTGAACCTAAAATAAAAGTTTAAAAAAAAAACCCAATAATTAGTCATAAAATAGAATTATAATACTATTCTGTTAAAAAAAGATTTTCTATTTTTGCCTCAGGTGGCTATCGGTTATAGAGCTAATGGAATTCATAGTCTTTTCCCATTTCCTCTGTTGCTTCCACAAATTCCTCACTATTTTGGTGAACTGGTAATACCTCTTTCATCTTGATTACTTAGCCTGAGGTTTTC